CTATCAGCATTTCGCAGGTTATGAACAAGAACAGAATCACCTCAGCTTATCAGCCCCAACCTACAACATTGCTGATGATAAAGCGATTAAGTGGAGATTGTAGCGGATATTTATCTAAAACACGAAGCTAGTAGCAAACGARCTACAAGCGCTGCCAGTTYCAGATTCCAAGCACTGTCAGCRCCAATGTATCGCATTATGAATTCTTCCTTCTCGATATATCATTTCGCTATTTTAATGTAAAACAGATGTAGTATTGAACTCTCTCGTATTGAATTAAACTTTAGGCGTAAACTATCTAAAATATTATTTGGTACAAATGACAGGTCTTCGAAAGGCAAACGGCGACAGCGATTTCGATGCATTTAGTTTGTGGCGACGGAATACACGGGATCCGTTCTTGGATCGGATTCGATGATCAGCTCGTACGGSCTCTTCTCACCGTGAAGTCTGGTCAGCAAGCGTCTACAGTCCTCACTGAGGTGCCGGAGATGGACCGTCTTGCCCGCCTCGTTGTACCTATCGGCGATGTTGTGAATGGCCTCGAGGGCCGAGTGGTCACAGACTCGAGAATTTGTAAAATCTATTACCACCACGTCGGAGGGATCCTCTTTGATGTTCGAGAAGAGCTTTGAAAAGGAGGTCACAGAACCGAAAAATAAGGGGCCCTTTACGTGGTASGATTTCAACCTTGTCGYCGACTTTYTCGATTTTTTGTTGTTGTTGCCCTTGCTGTCCTTTCCCTCCGTCACGGTAGCCACAATTTCCGTCGATTGCTTCCAGGCAAAGCCAAGGGCCGAAGCCACAGTTCCAGCTACCACAGCCTTGGCTAGATCAGCGCGGATTGTCACGAAACTGACCAAAAAGATGACAAAAACGTCGAGCCTGGGGATCTTGTGGAGGATCCGGAGGCTGCTCCAGCTGAATGTTGATTGGCAGACGGTGAACATGACYCCCACGAGGGCCGCTATGGGGATGTTCGCCAGCAAGGGAGCTCCGGCTAGGATTCCCAGTGCCAAGAAGATGGAGACACTCATCCCCGAGAGACGGCTGGAACCTCCCCCCGACTCAACATTGATGATGCTCTGCCCCAGGAGAGCGCAGCCGCCGATTCCACCGGTCAGCCCCGCCGCAATGTTGCCGAGTCCTTGACCAGTACATTCCTGCTCGGTGGACGATGATCCATCCTCCATGATGCCATCGATCAGCTGCATCGTAAGCAGAGATTCGATGGCACCGACCGCGGCCATGGTGACYGCATAGGGCAGGACAATCTTGAGAGTTTCCAGAGAGAACGGAACACTCGAGGGCCACAACGAGAATTTCGGGAGCACCGACCAGCCCCCACGGAATGTATCCGCACCGGAAACATCCGCTAGGGTCTTGACCCCCGGTAGCTTCAGTATTTTTTGCAGGATCGAACACACCGTGACGGCCCCGAGCGTAGGCGGAATTGACGCGAGGGCCGGGAGCTTGGGGATYCCCCGAACYAACGCGGCGGTCAGGGCCGACAATCCGATCATCGATCGGCCCTCTGCCGARGAAAGAGAGAGAAAGGCACCGCCCGCATCGCGGAAGTGCCCTAGCTGGGCTCTGGCCATAACTACCGTCAATCCGTTGACAAAGCCCAACATGACGGGATGCGGAACGAGACGGATGAACTTGCCCATTYTCCTAAACACTATCTGTAGRATTCCAGTGAGCACGGCGCAGACCGACAGGTACGGCGCCCCCATGGAAGCACAAAGCGGGGCAACGACCACGGAACAGGCACCGCTGGCTGAACTGCAAATCCCGGGCCTTCCCCCAAAGGCCGCAGCAACAAAGCCCAGGAGGACCGTCGTCCACAATCCCACAAGTGGCGAGACCCCTGCTACATAGGAGAAGGATATCGCCTCAGGAATCATTGCCAGGGAGACCGCCAGCCCCGCCGCAAGGCTCTTGGCATAGATCTGCTTCTGTTGTAATGGCTGGTTTTGCATTGTGTCGTCGCTGACTCTTTCTGGTGCTTTGCTTGCATTATCGAGAGACGGTTTGTTTCCAAAAAAGTTTAGAGATTTGGCCAGGCTCCGGAGGGATTCAATCTGTGACAGGGGCGGTGATGGCTGCGATTCGCTGTCGGTGTTGTCGGCAGAATGCGTATCAGCGCTGCGATGGCTATTGCTTGCTTTGCCTCCACCCGAGACGAACAGAGGATTATTTCCACAACRGTAATCGATTYTTGGTCTTCCATCCGAGAGAAGGAGGGACAAAGATGGGGATTTCCAGCGAGCAAGCGGGCATYTTTTTGACAGGAACGGATCACGCGTTGGTTTCAAGGCATCCGCGCAGCAGCTTCGGTGAACCAACGCTGCAACAAAAAAAACCAGCGCTAGACCTCGGATTGTATGGTGAACTATCTTTTTCATCTGATTGATACGTGGCWTATTATTGATTCGATSTTCGCGGATGGATGAATTATTCGAACTAAACACTGCAATACAGAATATGTCCGTATCAGGTTGCCGACAAACATCGTTCCCATGTTGCTGTGCCGATGTGCCTACCGGTATCGTACGTACGTATKTGTCAGAAGATCAATGRTTTTTTAAGTTTCCCTGACATTTTCTGATTTTCTGACATCTTCCAAGAATCAAGCCTGATGGAGAATCCATCAAGTAGAAGGTAGAAGACGTACGTACAATGCATACGTACTCGTACGCAGAGTACAGAGTACCGTACAAGGTACTTTGTACGGTACTTGTACGTACAGTACAGSTATTATGTTCAGTACGTACTTGTGCTAGAACAACGTACGGTAGGTTATTAATACTAGTACCCATGAAAAGCTGAGATAGATGCCACCAGAATTCCGCAATAAACGAACCTCGCCACAACTGATGCTTGCATTGTTACTACTTATAGTACTGTTTAACTCCAGTGCGGCTGGGCTGGTATATCCCCAGCAGCTACTAGAGGAACGCCAGAAACTACTATTCTTCTTTGATTTCTTTTCACCTGTTACACTTAGATTTGCACTACTCATTGGTTGAACCTTTGCCCGTACTSCCATTGGGCGATGAAGGCCAAAGAGATTTTTGTAGCATCGCTTCACAAAGATATACGAGCAACACGTGAGGGCAAAAGTGTGCAATACGTGTAAGACTGRCCCATCTAAGCTCCAAGCAAGAAGATCGGAACGAAAGATCGCAGAATCGATGGGCGGCACGTWGGAAGACTGAAATTCATATATTGGTTTTGATTYACTTTTAGCAATATCGAGCAATCTAAACAACAACGCAARGCTTGTTGCTTGTTGGAGAAATAGATATGATACACTTYATWTRTTTTCKTGACATCCAACGAGACATCTAATGCGATTCAACTWGTAACAACATAGATTCAAGAAAAATAGAAGAATTCAAGCGAGCATGRATGCATTACACAAATTTCTAAAATAATTCAAGGTCAATAGACTTGAAAGGTACGAATCCAATACTGATAAGTTTCTTCTGCGGCGTACGGTACGCATCGATGTACCATATTAACGTTGATTCGAAAAAGTCTTGGCACTGCTTTTGTCGATCCGGTGTTCACAATACACACAGATAGACAGTTCGTTTTTGTCATGGCACGGAAAATGCCCATTAKTCCTTCTTCTTCGACTGCATTGGTTTCATCTCGATGCCCTCGCCTGGGGTTTCCCCGCTCCTTTYTCCGCGATCTTTGGTCTCCATCATGCTCACCGCCAGTCGAAGGTTTTCGACAGTCCCCTCCAGCTCGGCGTGCTCCTGCATTAGCTCGGTGATGCGYCCGATAACAAAGATAAGGGTCAGCGCAAAGCCCACTAGGTAGAGGTTCCTCCCGGCCCTGTATTCCTTTTCTTTTATCAGATGGCGGTCGAGAACGTTTTCGATGCGCTCCGCATCTCGGACCTCCTTAGCATAGATCTGTGACAGATAGCCGATAGTATCTGCAAGAGCAAAAAGGAGGGCGGAGACSATGAGCACCAGTGGCACCCTCAGRCGCTTTTTCAGCTCGAGTTTCGAAACCCTGAGGCAGATCCARTTTCGGATCTTGCGCGGGACCGGGATGACCAGGATCAGCGTAACGGCAAGTTCAATCATTAAGAGAACAAAGACGGTTGACCACAGCAGAGATCTCATATTGCTTTTTTAAATARTAGTGCGAGAGCGATGAGGGTTGAGCAAAAAAATCTTCGACACCTTTTTTTTAAAGATAGTGGGGTGTTTGTTGTCGAGAGTTGGAGGATTGTAATCTTGAATGTTTTGTTCCGTCTTCGCCTMTCTCTGGATTCATGATTGATTCATTTTGAGAATCATCGGTACGACCTCCACWATTCCTCCACGATTCAATTTTTGATTCGATGCAAATCTTTCGGAACCAGATTGCGAAATTTTACTCAAATGAGTCAAAACCAAAACAATCGATTTCTGTCTGCCCTTCGTGGTGAACAGAGATGATGACTATTCAAACGGCAAGATACGTCATACCTACCCCATGCTGCATGATACGTGAAACGAGAAAGTGAGACACATCACTACCAATTTTTACTACCATCCGGTAGGAATTCGTTGCTTTCGGTAGCTTCGATATTTTGTCATCGATGTTTTCCGTCCTTGTTCGTTCAAACGTACCGCATCACTCTCTGATTTCGACTCGACTCGACCGCCGTCGTCTTTTCTGATCCCGTCTCTATCTTGCTAGTSTTTGCTTTGCTTTTACTGTCCCGCGATTCAAACAAACAAGAAGCAGTTTCCGTGACCTCGTTACCGTACGAATCAAATCGAATCAAATCCAATCAAATCAACCATGGCATCGAAAGAGATTTACCACAGTAAGTTGCTCAGTTAGACTTCCAAGTTGCTGGTTGGTGAGAGCGCTAGTTGTGGTCCGGAGGAGTTGCGCTTTGGGTCTCGATTCGGTCGCGTCCAAAAAACCATGGGATGCAAATCTTGTTGCCAATCTTACACATTCTCGTTGCCCATTCGTTTCTCCACTCGGTGTTGCTGCCGGTGTTTATTCTCAATGCCAAATCAAAATCCGTTGGTTGTTTGAAATGATCTTGTGGATTCACGCTCTTGCCATTCGAACGAACGAACGAACGAACGAACAAACAACGACAGATGGACTCGACATAAAGTCCCTCGCCATCAACCTGGCGACACTTCTGTTGTTCTTTCTCCCGTTCGCAATGTACTTCTATCCCGAGTTCAAGAACGAAGAAATGATTGCGGTTGCCGTAGGCATGGTGGTGGCCTATTTTGTCCCGCCCATCGGATCGCTGCGCCCCCACCCGTATTCGGACATACCGTCGAACAAGCCCTTTGCGCCGCGAATGACGTTTACGGAGCACGCCATCAAGCAATCGTAGGTGCATCTCATGTACGAAATGATGTTTGCGCAACGGATTGGTTTGGTGGTCRCACGCAACAACAAAAGCCAATGAAAGCGCAAKAGGAACTGTGGTGGGCGGAGGAACGATAGTTGAAAAAATGGTGGTCGGTACGAGGCAAAAGGGTCTCGAAGGATATCGGAATATGCAAGGGAATCCATACACGGAACAAAAGYGTGTCAATTGGGAAAGCACCGATTTTGCGCCGTTGCGATGGTTTCTTTTTCTTTGGAGTCACTTTCACATTGGAAAGGCGGRCAGGGTTGAAGTGGCTTTCCAATAGAGAAACCAAGAAGAAATTATAACGATAGAGAAACATATCCTAAATACCGCMGGTGGTTTCGGTTGCACCGTGGAACTAGATAATAGCGGAGAGAGGACCAYGAGGTAGCCCCGACCGCGTAGCGGAGTGCGCACGTTTCGTACCAGGTCGCAACAAACCAGGAGTGGATTGTTGTGATTCGYGTTGTCTACAGAACTTTCTTCTAGCTGCTACACAGAAAGCAAAAACGAGCTCGGTCCCTGGTTGGATTTTTGCACCGGCTGCGTACTAGYAGGTAGCAATCATTGTCGTCCGAACRGGATGCGTCCGTGTCTCCGCATCACCTTACGTCGTCCCGCCCAAYGCGTTCGTGCGATTGTTTGYTTRGTTGTAACCCCGAAAACGTTGCTCTGAATCACCGATTGTGTTGGTTTTGCACCTGGTGGCCAACGATCAGCAGTCGAAACGCAAAGGAGTTTGTTTGTTTTCTTGGATGGTGATTCTTCTCGTGACAGCCCAGTAAATTGTTGTTGCTATCGTCTTCTTGCAGGAGATAAGAAGTTTGTTCCTCCCATCCTTTGTTAAAACGCCAAGAGGAATTCTCATGATGGGGTCCAACAATTGGCGGTACTAGTAGTAAAATTGCTCTACCCTCGTCGTGTTTCGTCATTCCAAGAACACCATTCTTGTTGCTGGACTATTACTACTAGCACTCCAATYATGGGCCATGATGGTGCAAAATACTAGAACTACTGTATTGCGTTGGACTTTACTACAACTACTAGTACCCGCAGCCTTAATAGCAACAGTAATGGTTCAATTGAAATTCTTCCCTACTCGTAGTACTGGTACTACCCGTACCGACTTCCAACCTTTGGTACGGTAGAATAGTACAGCAGTTAGTACGTACCGTAACGTGCGCTTAGTTGCGAACAAGGATGGGTGCCTTCGAAGGAACGAATCTGCTCAATCTACTCGAACAAGTCGATTCCTACGGCCGAGTCCTCCATCCGAGTCCTATGAGTCGGTTCTGGGGCGCACCCMCCGTCCCGGTCCGGGATCGAGGCGGGCGATCCTGGGATTCCTCGATTTTGTCGAATGCCGAGGATGCGCCGGTCCGCGTGCCRAAATAGCATTGGTGTGTGGGATTGATGTGTCCGCACACACGACTGTTGGAGAAAAATTCGAACCCCCCCGGGGCGTTTGCACGATTGCGCGTAGGATGCTCGTAGGATGCATTGCGGAAAAAGCTTGGTCGCAGGTCCCCGTCCATCGTAGTCGGAGCCGCGGAATGCTTTGCACACCGTGTGAAATTCGTACGCTTACCGTGCTGTGCTGTACTGTACTGCAGCAACATCACGTCCAGCTCCTATCCYATTCGAACACTGCCAGACAACGGCAAACCAAAGAMGGYGTCCATAGAGATACGGCACGGTACAACCCCAGTCGAAAAGAAATCCAACCGCGCTCGAACCCAAAGAACAAAAGACGACACAGTACCACACCAATCGAAGCCAATCGAAGCCAAACCAAGCCAAGCCAAGCCAAGCCAAGCCAAGCCAAGCCAAAGCCAACGACCAAACGCATCCACGAAAGTCGATTGCCATTGCACGCCGCACCAACAAAAGCCACACACGCTACGAGTACGATGAGGCCGACGTCTCGCACCACGCAGGGAACGCCATCGGTTCTGCTGCCGCTGGCGGTCCTGGCCGCCGCCACGATGAACCAGCACGGAGCTTCCGTCCTGGCCAAAAAGCAATCCCCGGAAGAACTGGAGCGATCCATCCTCCTGGAGCTGTACGAAGCCACCAACGGGCACTCGTGGAACGAAGACTACGGGTGGTCCCACAACCTCGACGACGTGTGCACCTGGCAGGGAATCGAGTGYCTCGTGAACCCGGAGAGGGTGAAGGCCTCGGGGGGAGCCCTCGTGGCCGGCCGGAATCCCGTCGTCGGAATCGACCTGAGCGACAACTTTCTGAGCGGGAGGACCCCCGCCAGCCTCTGGAAACTCTCCACCCTGCAGTGGCTCGACCTGGGCTTCAATCCCTCGCTGGACGTGGACTTTGGGTCGCTSGCCGACGAGAACGATGCGGAGCTTCCTCCCCTCGAGAGCATCTCGGTCCGCAACACCGCCACCACCAGCGTCAAGGGGGTCCACGCCCTCGGCGAAACCCTCACGGAGCTGGTCCTGTCCGAAAACAAGTTCGAATCGAGGTTCCCTCCCGATATCCTGGAGCTCCGCAAGCTCACGAGTTTGTACTGCGCGAGCTGTTCCCTCCGCGGGAGCCTGCCGGACGGAAGCAGCTCGGAGGGGAACGAGAGCGGGATCGAGGTCCTCAACCAGCTTCGGGTCCTGGACGTCTACAACAACGATCTCACCGGAACCCTCCCCGCCGGCCTGGCCGATCTGGTACACCTGAGGGCCCTCGTCCTCGCCAAGAACCAGTTCCACGGAAAACTCCCGCAGTTTGTCAACGACGAGCTGGTCATGCTCGAGGAGTTCTGGGTCAACTTTAACGACCTCACCGGAACGGTCCTCCCCTTTGACAAGCAGCCCTCCCTCCAGAAGCTCTACCTCAACGGGAACTCCTTCACTGGAACCATCCCCGAAACCTTYCTGGGGGCCGCCCTCGAGGGACCCGAGGGATTTGCGTCCTCCGGTGACCCCCTCCTCGTCAACCTGGGCAGGAACGAGTTTACCGGAAGGATCCCCGCCTCTCTCGACCGGCTGGCCCTCCTGCCGATCACCTGGCGCCTGGGCGGGAACGCCTGGACGGACATTTCCCTCGAGCTCTGCGACAACTACAACTGGAACGAGGGCCGCGTGGCCGTCTCCGGTTGCGCGGGTCTGGTCTGTCCCCCCGGAACCTTCTCCCTCGARGGATTCCACACGGCCCAGAACCCCTGCGAGCCCTGCACGACGGCTGCCTATTTCGGAACCTACGAGTGCTTCGACGCGGACGACCGTGCCGCCCTGCTGGACGTCTACTCCAAGCTGGGAGGGGAATCTTGGATCCACAACGACGGCTGGGCCACGGCTCCCCGCCTCGTCGCCGACGACGACTGGTCGGAAGAATGGAACGACTATTGCGGCTGGTACGGAGTCGAGTGCTGGGATCTGGGAGATGCCAAGGACGGCCGCGTCCGCAAGGTCAAGCTYGGAGCCAACAACCTCAAGGGAAGCATGCCGGAGACCATCTTTGCCATCGARCACATGACCACCCTCGACGTTTCCAACAACCCCGAGCTGGTGGTGGGCTTCCGAAACGTGGGCCGGGCCSAGCACATTTACAGCATCAACGTGGGGGGCACCCAGACCAAGGACTACGACGGGATCCAGCACGCAAACGACTTCTTCAAGCGCTTGTACGCCGACCACACGCCGATCTCCGGAACGGTCCCGTCGGAAATCACCCGCATCCACAACCTCCAGGTCCTCTCCCTCCAGGACTGCGACCTCAACGGGGAGCTCCCCGTCAGCCTCTTCGCCATGTCTTCCCTGCAGGAGCTGTACCTGGCCCAGAACAACTTCCAGGGATTCGTWCCCGATCGGTGGRCCGCCCTMAAGAACCTGGAGGTCCTCTCGCTGGCCCAGAACGCCTTTCGTGGAAACATTCCCGAGTCGCTCGGCTTTGCGCCCAGCCTCCGGGCCCTGACCCTCAAGGACCAGGTTRCCAAGGGAGGTGGTTTCACCGGACTCCTGCCCTCCTTTGGAAAGTCCCGAACCCTGACCCAGCTCTTGGTCAGCGACAACAAGCTGGAAGGAACCCTACCCACGAAACTGTTGCAGCTGGCGGACACGTCGGAAAACTATTTCGTCGTCGATCTTGCCAACAACAAGCTCACCGGACCCGTCCACGGAACCTACGAGCGCTTCGACCGCCTCGATCTCTACCTCGAGGGAAACCTCATCACGGAAATCGACGAGCGGCTCTGCAACAACCCCATGTGGATGAACGGGGCCGTCGGAGCCTACGGGTGCGAGGCCATTTTGTGTCCGGCCGGAACCTCCAACAGGGRCGGCCGAAGGATGTACACGGACGATGCCTGCTCCCCCTGCGGGGACGACAAGAGCGCKTCCTCCTCCCTGGACGGATCGTACCTGGGCCAGACCACCTGCGGGGATRCGGAGGCTTCCTACGACCTCCAGGGCGTGGACGTGTCCGAGGCCGCGGACGACGAAACCTCGTCGGCCCTCGCCCAGTCGATGGAGCGGGGCGTTCTGGAAGCAATCTTTGACCAGACCGGTGGACCGGAGGGATCCTGGAAGACCTCGACGGGATGGAAGACGGACASCAGCGTTTGYACCTGGTACGGAATCGACTGCGACGAGAACGGTTCCGTCGCCTCCATCCAGCTGGGATCGAACGGACTCAAGGGTCCGGTGCCCTCGCTWATCTGGACGCTCCCCAACCTGGTCCACCTCAAGATCTACGGGAATCCCATCAGCSTCGACTTTGAGAACATTGCTTTTGCGAAGAAGCTCCAGACCCTCGGYCTGGACGACACCGGTGTGAAGTCCCTGGACGGAATCGGAAAGGCGCGGTCCCTCACCAGCCTCAAYGTGGCCAGCAACGGCCTCACCGGGAACCTGCCCGAGGAGCTCTCGCGGCTGGTCAACCTCCAAAACCTCGACGTCTCGCACAACAAGTACACCGGAGTGGTGCCCTTTTGGTTCAAGAACTTTTACGCCCTCTCTAGCTTCTCGGCCTCCCACAACAAGCTGAGCGGGGAGGTCCCCACATTTGCCAGCATGGTCGAGCTGTCCTACCTGAACCTCTCCCACAACGAGTTCAAGGGGAAAATCCCGCCGACGCTCCTCGCGGGAGTCGTCCCGGAAAACAAGGTCGTCGTCGATCTTTCCTACAACAAGATCGATGGAGTCGTCCCCGGAGAACTATCGAGGCTGTCTCGGCTGTCGATCCAGTTGGAGGAGAACCAAATCGTCGGCATCGACGTCCAGGTCTGCGCCACCGACGGCTGGAACGACTTTGACGCCATGACGTACGGGTGCGACGGAATCCTTTGCCCGATCGGAACCTGGAACAACCTGGGCCGGCAGTCGAAYGACGTTTCCTGCGAGCCCTGCAARAAGGCCAAGTACATGGGTGCGACCACCTGCGGATCGGAAACCTCGACGGTGGGCAGCGGCGCTAGGACGACCGCTCCTTCCACCACCACGGCCGCGGCGCTCGGGGCCGCTGCCCTTGCGCTGTGGGGTACCGTGCTGTAACGACGCACCAACGGTGCAACGCAACAACCTCACACCCACCAGCCAGCCGGTCAGCCCGCCACACCGCGATCGGTTCGGTKTTGCGAACCGATCGTGCATCACCCCGTTCCGACTAGAACCAGGCTTTGGGGGAGATCAMCCGAACCTACGGATATAAACTTACATTGTAACACTTACGTACATACATTTAACAATACAATTTTAAAATATTAAATCAAATCGAATCGATCGATGAGCAATTTGCGGCTTGCAGCAGGAAAAATAGACGATTGCTCAAATACAACCCGTACGAAACTGCCAATGATGCTATGGTTTAGTGCCAAAATACAGTGCCGAATACGGTGTGTATGATTTGGTGATCCTGGGAAGATCTTTGTACCTGCAGGTTCCAACGCTTGGGTTTCCTTTCTAGAGGGTAGTTTTGCCAGGTCATTCAGCGCCAATGGATGAAACGACAAGAGTCAAAMGAAGAGTTCTCTGTCGAGCGACAATGGCGAGGGAGAGAACGCAGTCTCATGGTTTGGTTGAGTTTACGATTTCGTTTGTCATCAAGAAGACATCGCACGGCATCGTTCTTTGGCCAGTACGTAAGGTACCAGGTACCCCTCTCAATTACCATATTTACTGCATTATTTTTTGAGTCGTGGATGCGAATTCAAACGTTCTCGTACTACGTTACGTACGCTAGTACTGTATCATTTTTGAGTCGTGGCTGCGAATTCATATGTTCTCGTACTGCGTTACGAAGTCGGACATCCTCAATGTTGCTACGTACGTACGGTACGTACATTACTCCTAGCGTCCCTCCGATACGATAGCTAGGGAGGGTTGGAAAGTCGTGCTCGTAGTAGTAGTACGTACTCGTACTGATAAAGATACCCTACGGTACGGGTAGGCAGGGGTCTAAATTATGACCCCTTCGGGTAGGTACGTACCGCCCGGTTGGTATGCGCCGTACGGTACCAACTAGTGAAAGGGAGGGTCAATCCTTTTCAGTTGTTAATTGTTTACTGTAATTTTTAAATACCTTACGGTAGTACAAGTATTCTTTTTCAAAACAGTAACTCATGATTTGGGCTGACAACTCGCACGCGATGAATGTTTCGTTGTGTCCACAAGAACACGATCTCGGAGAAATAAGAACGAAGAAATAATAAWACTAAACTGCGAGCAGGTAGGATCCAAGTAGTATCCACCATTTACGATAGCTAAAACAAAAGCACAAGCAACCGTCAAGTGGGAAACAGTAACGACTTTGCGGACAGCATCGCCTGCCTGTGTCTAGCATCGGTTTGAAGAATTCCTCCCAAGACAGAGAACGATGACTAGCGGACAGAAAGAACRGTGTTGTGGCGGGCGAYGCATGTGCTGGTACGTAGAAAGTGAACGATGTAGATAGAGGCAGAAAGGGAAACGAACAACGCGTTGCGCACACCTACACTGGCACGAAAGAAATGATGCTTGYGGATTTTTATTCCGTTTGCAGTTCCGCTTTGCGGAAGGTTCAGAAATCAATCCATCGGTTCCTCTCACGATTCTTTCGCGGTAAATACGGCAACAACGGCTGATCATTCCTTCCCTTCCGCGCATTCTCTCGCACCAAAAAACTTTCGATTCTATTCATTTGAAACGCCGTGCAAAATAATGTCATGCAACGCGACGAATTGAACCACAACACAGTCCCTACAGCGACGGATGGATGATTGCCGCACAAGTAATTTCGATTGTCGCTTTCCTGATCTCTTGGATATGGTTTGTRACCTTCTTGATCGGGTTGGTTTGCATGATTTTGCTCCAGGTCGTTTGGTGTTGTCGGCAGGGCCGGGTCGGGATGGTGTCCATGGCCCTGATTTCTGCTGCGGCCGGTACATCGTCCGTCATCGCGGGGACCATCATGGGGCTCACATGGAAGGAAAAATCCCGCTGTTCGCCGTACACGCTCGAAACCGACGACTACTACTTTGACGATTATTGGCGTTCGACGAATTCGACGGACCAAGAGCCTTACTTCCGCAGCGAGGGCAACGACGCCTGTCCAGAGGAATTTTTGACCATCGTTGCCCTTTTGACCGGGGGCCTCTGGTATGCCGTCGCGATCTGTATTGCTATTTTTGTCGCGACCGGGAGGCACGCAAAGTGGGAGGCACGACACGGCCCGTACTCCAACGATCGTGCCATTTCGTCCGCCGAGGTGGTGGTGATCGAGATGGGCACCGATCCGGGTGACATRGGTGCATCCGACGTGTCGCCACCGGTGGCCAGTGCTACCCTCCTCCGGGACRATTAGATGCAAACAAGTCGTAGTCGGTCCACCGTACCGACGACTCTTGCGTCCGAAAGCGTGCTCCTCACTAAACAAAGGAAACACGCAGACGCCGGCCGGTGGCTTTCTACGGCTAGTGAATGTCGACTAAAAGATGGAATGGGTACCCATGTTTGTCGTTCACTAGATAACTACATAGTAGAAAGTTTTTGATCATTCACTACCGCATTCGCAATAAATCACTCTGTTCAATATGTTTACTTCATTTAGGTCAATGTAGAAGTTCATAACTTCAAATCAAAGTTTAGAACTTGAAATTATTACTTCTTGCTCTCAGGCGGAGTCCTGTTTCAATTGTTACGAAACTCGTAGTACCATATTCATAATATGTACAACTAGTACCAATAGTAACACCGATATATGATCCGTTGCGTTTTTTTTTTTCATCTCCATTTTGCCAGGCCATGGCGGGGGGAAAAAATGGCATTCCGCACCGATGCCTACCGGTACGATAACGATGCTGAAGGGAGAAAGACATGACATAATATTATGCAAAATATTGCATCTGTTTACGATAGAACAAGACCTCATTGAACGAAAGGGAGAATCGTTGTAAAATGAAGTTACCAACAACCA